TATTCTTATACTGGCCGTTTCAATTTAAATTTACCATACATCCTGATGGGTATGCTTTTTCCTATTTATAAAACTGATAAAATCATTCCTAGTAGAGTTATGATTTCCCACCTATATTTTTATAAGAATCTTTAATAAAGACCAGTTTCCTATTTCTTGTGTGAAAGGCCTATGCTTGTTTAGAAGATAACCACTTGTGTCAAATTGTCCTTGGCATCTTTTATATCTAAATAAGATATATACAATGTATATACATATCAGAATCTTTGATGAGTTGATTGTATAGTGCAGGTTTTTTTTTTGTTATTGTTGCTGTTTAATGAAGAAGAAAAAGAAGATTGCCATTTTTTAACCAACTGCAAGATTCCATTGCAGTCATTTGGGTGAATAGAGACTTACAGACCTTTTGATAAAGAGATGTAGTAAATGTGGAATAAAACCCATAGGAGATTTCATTTTATGGCTTGGGTACTCATTAGCCACCTTTCTAGAGATGTATTTAATAATTCAGTGTTTGATTTGTGCCAAGGACACTTTCAAAATCGGTATCTTATCTATTCCTGAATCACATGGAGTAAGACTATAGTGATCTTGATTGTATTTACTTATGAGGCTGGGGAAATACAGGTCTAAGAGCTGCTTTCAGAAAGATTTCCATCCTGTAATCTCATTTAGGCATTGCTGCTTTCCCTTGGAAATGAGGGCAATGCCAAGCAAGTATTCTCTTACTGCCTCGTTGTGTAAATCCATAAACGGAAAATTCAGGTTTTTGTGGGTTTTTTTTGAAACACTGGTCACAATCATGTGTGCAGAATAGATTCAGACAAGGACATTGCTTTTTCTCTTGGCATTATAAGGTAGAAATTTTATTCAGCAGCCGTAAAACTAAAAAAAAAAGACACCTCAACCTTAGAATTTTGCTGAAAATCTGCACCACCTTGTGAAGGAAAGACACAAAGCTTAGTCAGTTATAAAATAAGTTTTAAAACATGTATACTTAAATACATATTTAAATGTTTTGGAACTTTTAAATACAACTTTGTGTCATTTAACTATTTTCAAAAAGGTTTTTATATTGGCAGCCTCAGAAATCCTGCTTGTGTTGGGGAAGAGGAATTCAGAGAAGCTTCAGAATCATAGGAAAGATACAGCTGTGATTTCAAGGCATGGAAAATCAAATGGGATAATAAATCCAAAGTTCATAGTTAGAAATAGTAACAGAATTGGAGAACAGAAGAGGGCTGTTTTCTGAATGTTAGATAAGTAAAATAAAAACTAGCCTAGCGAGGGTGCTTCTCTAAATTTCTCTTCCTAAGAAATGGCTAGAGTAAATTGATACATTTTAAATGACAGAAACTATTTTGCAAAGGCTTTCATGTTGGGGTGGGCTGCTGGGGGCTCGCAGGGGCTCAGGCAATTCCCTAGCTAAGATTCTGCAGAGTCGGCGAGCCCCCAAATCCGACTCCTGGCTGGCCTGGCACAGGTCTGTCCAACCCCGCCCCGCCCCGCCCCACCCCACAGGAGGTGGAGAATGAAGCTGAATCCGGGCGCCCATTGCCTTCTCTTGCTGCTCACCCTGGGACTTGACGCTTGGGATGCCCAGGCTGCAATGGGTGCTCAACTCCCTTCGGATGTCCCCAGAGGGGAGAGTGGGGTGGGGGGCAGGCGAAGACGCCAGTCCAAACCGCCCGGGTGGGGCTGAGCCGGGCTGGAGGGAGCTGGGGGGATGAGAGGAAGCCTCGGCTTTTGCCTCTAGGGGGCTAGAATTCAGCAGTGCGTGTTTGAAATCACTTTTGGTCCAATAGAGTGAACTTTTGCTTGTTATTTATTTTCAGGAATGAAAACTCAGCCAGATGTTTGTCTTGCACCTTTCCCTAAATATCGAATGACATGAATGAGAAATTAGTCATTTTATAGGCTAGTTTGTGATATGTTTTTTTTTCTTTTAGTTTGGGACCACAGACTAAAATGATGTAACAATGCTTAGCTACTCCTTAACAAGTTTTGCTTTCCCCACTCTACCCACCCATTCCATGTGTAAGCCCTGTCATTTGTATCTCTCTGTTAATACAATTTAGGATTGCGTTAGCTTTTTTGGTTGCTGCTGCATACTGCTGGCTCATATTTAGCTGATTGTCCACTAAGACTCCAAGATCCCTCTCACTGTCACTGCTATTAAGCCTGGTTTCACTTAGTCTTTTATTTAAGTATTAAATGCACGAAATAATAAACAACTTTTTGGTATATATAATTTTTTAGACAATTAGGGCAAAGAAGCGACGTTGTGTTGGCCACACTCACCCAGTCATACGACCACCTAGCCCTGCCCACCTGAACACATGACCACCCAGCCACGCCCACCCAGCCAGTCATTAGGGCAGAGAGACCCTTGCTAAAAAATTTGAAGCCCACCCCTGCTTTACACCCAGGGCTTGCCTTCACGTGATTATTTCTATCCATGAGTAACTAAATCATGTCCTATTTATGGCTGGAAACACTTTCAATGACACTTATTCTTTTTTATATAAAGATTTAGGCATGTAAAACAAATGCTAATTTATATTTGCTATAGTTCACTTTCCAAATAGAAAATTTACTTATTCACAAATTAATCTAACCTATTTATGTTCCCAATTCATAGTCTGGCAATACTATGCTTGACTAATAATATGATATATATCATACATTATATTGTATCTATAATTAATTATTATTATTGTTGTTGTTGTTGTTATATAAAAATCTATGAGGAGATGTCAGCAATTTGATATACTTTGAAGGAAGAAAAACTAAAGAACGAAAAGCTGAAAAATAGTTTATGCAAAAAAATACAACCTGGAGAAAAAAACAATAATGGAAATCATGGAAGAACTAAAACAGTGTGTAATAGCAACGGTAAATAAAATAGAAAGATACCAAGGACGAATAAAACAATATTGTGAAAATGTCCAGTTCAGAAAAAACCAACCCTCTTTTACCGGTCACCGGATGAAAATCGAGTCCAAACTACTGTTCACCCATGTAAAGAAAAAACTTTGAAGTTTTGGAAAGAACTGTGGGAAAACCCAGTGGAACACAACAAAACTGCCTCCTGGATTAAAGATATTAAAAAACAAGCAATACAAAACAAAATGCAGAATATTGTAATAACATATAGTTGCAAAACAAGTAAAGAAGGTCAAGAACTGGAGTGCACCTGGCCTGGACAAACTGCATGGATACTGGCTAAAACACCTGATCAGTCTCCATTACCACATGGCCACTCAATTTGACAAAATGCTTCAAAATGCAACAAGCAAAGAATGACAATTAAAAGTGAGAATTTTATTATTGAAAGACCCTTGAAAAGGGATGTATGAAGATTTCACCCTTGGACCATTTAAAAGATTAGATTGATTAATTTCGGGACATAAAGATCCTTGGATATTTAACATTGTTTTTTTAGCTTGAAAAGTGGCTTTGATTTGGATAACGGACAGTTGGACAATTGGCTGGGAAGAAATAAAAGAAACAAGAACAGAGAGGAGTGAAATTTGTAAAGAAATTGCGTTGGATTTTCAGGAAATAAAATATACACTGGCAAGAGGATTTGAGAACATTTTGAATTAAATACAAAACATGGACACAAAGCTGGAAATTGAGATACAAATGATAAGAAGAAAGCAGGAGGACCAGGAAGAGGAGGAGCCAACTGAAAGAGGAACTAAAAATAAAAAGGATATAAATATAATGATTGATCTAAACCAAGGGGAGAGTAATAATAAAACAGGAATTGGAATTGCAAAGAGAAACCTTTGGGAGGAAGATAGGGGTGAGAGTAGATAACTTGGAAATGAGACAATGGAACATAATAGAGAAGTGTTTAAGAGGAAAGGTCAAAAAGTGGTAGCTAGAAATGGAAATATAAGAGAGGAATATGGGAGACAAGCTAAGAAGCAAAAAAACTAAAGCTTTAATGCGAGTAAGAGATGATGGTTAAAATAGAAAAGCAAAACATTGTGAAGTATTATAGAAGACAATGAAAGGCAACATTTAATATAAATATAATATTATTAGAATTGTATAAATTGTTAAATGTAAGAATGATGAATTATTGTATTTGTATTAAAATGTGACTAGAAAGGGGAATTTTTCTTTTTTACATATAATAGTGGCATACTCAGAAATTAATAAGGGGATAGATAATAGAAATTGATTATTAATATATAATTGGTAGTAAAAGGAGTGAGGTTAAGAATATAGAGATTCACATAAAAATAACATACTGTAATATTGAATAATTAAGATTGATAATTTAATAATTATATGTATTAATTTGAAAAATTGTCAATTATATTAAGTAAGAGGAATATTGTCATATTTGTATCAAAATGTAAGA